GAACAGAAGAATATTTCTTGGACTTCTAACTTACCTCACTGCATGTTTTAAGGATCCATTTAAAACGTATGAGAACCGTAAACTTGTTTTTCTAATGGAAAGGAACATTACTGGATTTAGTATTCTAATGGAAATTTTCTTTGATGCATAATTCTACAATCTATAACCAGGTAGCAACTATATTAAGGCTATCCAAATATACACTAATTTGTGGTCAGTCTTGCAGACATCTTCACTGGACAATATACTGTTACAAAAAGCAGGAGTGGGGAAAAAACACAGGTTCTGTGCAGTGGACTGGACAGACGATATAGACATCATTGGATATTTGCTCCCCATAAAAGAATGCTTGATGGTAAATTATTGAATTCATTCTCAGAGGCCTTCCTTCAACTATCTAAAGATTGTGCATGTGTGGTGGCAGCATTACCTAGTGAATGACCACCATCACCTAAAATTAATCTTCTGTTTTACTAGATAAATACTGCTATGTTTTTCTTTACTTTTTCCCTCAGCCTACCAAGGATATTATGTCCTAAATCCAATTGCTAGTCCAAGCTAGAACACACCCTCTAAATCGAAGATATTTGCATTACATAAATGCTGGCTTACTATTCAGCAATTTGTTCAACAGGTCTACTCTAGATGCCATTAACAATTGGTTACATGTTTTGTCCAGGTCAGAAATTAATATGAGTAATTCCTGTAGTTTGAAAAACAGAAGAATCATCATCGTCATTTGTTTATTTTAACAACCTTTGATGTCACCTGAAATCTGTATGACACGTACTAGTGTTTAATCTATTTAGGTCTGGGCCATTCTCCCCTTCCGTTTAACCACACTGACCAAGCAAACTTCAACATAGTGTGTGGCAGCCTCTCCTGCCAATCAGATCAAGAACAGAAGCACCACTGATGCTCTGTGCCCTTCCCACCATGCAAAACACTCACAAGGAAAAAGAAAGTAGAGAGGAAGAATGGCAGTCACAGCAATAATGCCTTCTTCTAGCAGCTGCTGCCTACCTGCCTTCATAGTTTAATTCAGTGGTTCCCAATATTGGGTGTTCTTTGACTAAAACTCCCAAAAGCCTTCACCTGAACTGTGCTGACCAGGATTTCTGGCAGTTGCAGTCCAAGAATATCTGGAGACCCAATAATGGGAACCACTGGCTTCGCTGCTTCTCAGTTGGTTATGTTAAGAACAAATGGCTCTGAAGGTTCGAAAAGCCAAAGCATTAAGGGGACGACAGATCAAAATCACTTGTAATAGGGATAAAGAGGAGTTGCCGTAGTCTTCACAAATATATAACAGGTGTTTTTAAAAAATTATTATTTATTTTATTTATTCAATTTATTTACTGCTCATATGCTACTAAGGCCACTCTGGGCTAAAATAAACCACAATAGCAGAATAAAAATAGCCACAAAACATAACTACAATATAAGAATCAAATAAAATATAAACCAACTAACTAAAAAACAACATAAAAGCAATTAATGTAAAAAACATAATTTTAAAGGCCAACCCATCTCATAATGCAATGGCCCAAAGGGTCCTCAGAACAAGATATTCTCATAGCTGGCTGAGATACAGTCATACTATAAAGGCAGGTAGGTAGAAGCTGCTACAAGAAAGTGGCTAGCAGCAACCAGGTTAAGTGGTGGCAAGTGAGTGCTGGTGGCAGCTTTTCCCAATGCAGCCACCAAGTGCTTCACCACCTTAGACTACTGTTCCAATCCAGCCCTACTTCAGTACCACCCTTTTCTTCTCTTTTTCATACACTCTCCACACTGCTTCCCTGAAAAAAAATTCCCAATAAAAGCTTCTTTATAATTTTGTGCAAAAATATATTATCTTAGAACAGTATTGCTTGATTACAGCTGTCAGAAATTTTCTTATGGTCCTGCACCAATGACTTTATTTTCTGGAGCACAGTGAACTTTTTACTTGTACTACAGGAAAAGATGTATCCATTACATGACTGTTTTATGTAACTTACTCTCCTACTACAAAGACAAAGCTACACTTTCCAGAAGGAAAAAAAAAGACAGAATCTGCAGCAACTTCTGTTGCAGCAGATGACACAAGCCTTACAACCATTCAAAATGGCACTCAATACAGTTTTGTTTTTTGTTTTTTTGCTTTTCTTCCCCAGAAACTCCATGGTTTCAGATGGTAAAGGACTGCCCTTTTTTTCTACCAATTGTTTGCTTGTCTCTTCTTCACTCTTCTATTTACCACCCCCTTGTTCCTCTTTTTAAGGGCTGCCATGTCTTTGATTTTTTTTTCTCTCCTTTGCCTTTCTCCTTAAAAATGTACTCAAAACCATACAACACTTTAAAAAAAGGAGGTGGGAGCAGGGCATGCCCTTATCATGTGACATTACATCCAGCTCCCAACACACACAGCAGCAGTGTACACTCTCTCACACACTGGATTATAAGGGGAAAAAATGCTGCAACAGAGTTGTGTCTGTTTACCACTAACCCACAGCAAATATATTTTCTCTAGTTTATTGCAAAGGTGTAGCTGCAGCCTTGGAAGTGAAGAATAGATTTAGTCAGAATTAGGGTTTAATCCTTGTTCAAATAGGAATTAAATACATTCACTGTAGTCTCAGTGTCCAGTCATCTGCCCATCACATTAGCTGTGATTTAGTGCTTTGATCATGAACTATCCTGCAGACCACTTAACAAACTAGCTTCTCCCATTTCTGTTCTGTTTCTCTGTAATGCCTCTTATGTCCTATCTTCTCTTTCAGGCTGGTTAAGTACAAAAACAAGTCATGGACAATCCACAATTTTGGCTTTAGCTGTTAACAACAAATCATGACATAAATAGAGTTTATAAGCCACAATAGATGTTGGTTTCTAATTATTATCTATACCAGGATAGCAAACTGCTGTATGATTGTGGAGATAGGCTTTTAACAAAAGAATCAGCACAGAATTAAACAAACCACAGTCCAACAATTTGTAAACTTTTCCATTGATTTTATCATACCTGCTATTTCAATGATGTAGTTTTTACTGAAACATCTCCAGACACCACATCCTGATTATACAATATAAGCTTCATTTATTGGAACTATCACTAAATAACAATCAATTCAAACCTGCAGCTGACAAATTAAGTCTATATGCCCCTCGTAACTTTTGTTTTAATAAAAGTGTTTGTTTATGTGGTCAGACAGGAACTTCTTGTGTGTGTGTGTTTTTTTTAACTGACAATCTAATTGAATTCTGTATGTGGAAAACAGGGCAACTCGCCTTGCCCCAGGAAGCAAAATATCTGGGCCAACATTCCTAAGCATTCTGATTATTGAGGTTCAAGTCAACAGTATGGTCATAACTATGGTGCTTCACAGGACTCTGAAATTGAACAAACCAATTAAAGCTAAATTAAAATGGGACTGTCTGAGGGAGGCAACTATTGTGTTCATTAACATCACTTAACATTTCCTGGTATGTTCATAACATCATTTAGTATATTTTCATCATTCTGCTTCACAGTATTGATAATGACCCTGGTCCTGCAATTCCAAATTGTCATAAAAACACTATTACTCTTTTCCACCCAGTCAAAAACCATGGTCTTCTTTGGATTTTACTATTGTGCATTCCCTGAATTCTTATGTTTGCCTGCTAGACACTTAACAACTGGTCTTAACTTTGACATACAAAACCTTAGCAGCTTTAGATATATGTATGCCAGAGCCTATTGAACCAACTTCCAAACTCTGAATGTAATATTCTTACTCTCTCAAAACAGATAAGGCAAGAGGTCCCCATTGGAAACCCATAAAACCAGCATCCATGTACTTCCAAATGATCACATTTTGCTGTAATGTAAGAAAAAACGGTACAAATTAAATTTGGCATGTTTCGCAAAGAGAATATTAATTCCTTTGTCCACTAAACAGCTCTGGGATAGAAATTAATGCAAGCCACTCATTTTGAGAGCTTTCTGTTCCTTATTATCATGGACTCTATTTCTTCTCCAGCTAGTTATCCTTGGCTGCACTGGGTCCAGAAAAACCCTGAGAAAATGAACTTAAATTTGTATAAACTGTAATTTAATCTGTCCTTACAAGATCTGTTGCCTGTTAACAATTGTTATGATCCTGTATCCACGTACTGTGGCTTTCAAGCAGGGTGCATGGGAGCAAACTTTATACACCACATCAGACAAAAACTAAGACCATAAAATTCTCACCTTAAGAACTTATGTTTCAATGTAAGCTTTGTCGCACTCGATCCACGTCCTCAGACTTGATCCACAAAAGCTTACAATGAAACACAACCGTTAAGTCTTTGCAGTACCACCCACCAAACCCAGATTTCATATTATTGTCTGGGACTCCGGGCGCTCTGCTTCCTGGGCCGGTCCGCTCCGCTCCTTCCCTCCCGGGTCTCTCCTCGGCTCCTAACCTTGTCCAGCCCATCTTCCCGACAGGCCCCGCCGCGCACGGCGAACAGGAACCCCTCACCGGGGGCATGCCTTGGCCGCGCCTCCACGCACCTCCCAACGTCGCCGAGAAGACTTCCGCCTCCCTCCGCCGCCGCCGCCGCCGCCCTTGCCCTCCTTCGCGGTGGCCAGCTGGCCCCTCTCGGTCCCTGAGGGCCATCCCTTGCCGCCGCTCCTCTCCCGCCGCCGCCAGGCGACCCTCTGCCGCCGAGTCACCTCCTCCCACCCTCCACAAATCACAGGCGGCGCCCGCTTCCACCTGTTACTCCCGCCGCCGCCGCCGCCGCCTCAGGACACTTTCCTCTTCAGGAGGAACCCCCTTCTTCCCCGGGCAAAGCCACCTGTCCCTCCCCTCCCTCCATAACGAGAGACCGACGCCGCCACCGCCACCGACGCCCTTACCTGGCCGTGGGAAGGGGAGCAACGCCACCGCCTCAGAGTCACCTGAGAGAAACTGCCGCGCTTCCGACCCTCACTCTTCGCCCGCCTTCTTGCCTTCCTCCCTCCCTCCGCCCCCCTCCCAGTAACGCACCGGCAGTAACTATTCACGTGCCCCTCGATTTAAGTAGGACTTGTTGTTCCGTACGCGGATGACAGCTACGGCGAGCTGCGCAGGCGCGACCCATTCCGCAAAGAGCTTCCCTCGCACACCACGCCTCCTTGCCTCCATACACACCCCACCCCACCCCCGGCCTGTCGCTTTTTTCCACAACTGCCGGCTCCGCGAGAGCTTTTGGGGGAAAAGAAACCGAGAGACGTCACGTGACAAGAGCCGCGGCGGCGGCGGCGGCTTCCTCCTCTTTGGAGGGTGGGACGTCACGTGGCCCCAGGAGGCGAGCCGGAGCGGCCGGGCGGACCAGCATGAACATTCGGGAAACGGGGGTGGGGGATGTTCGAGAGGTACAAGAGGGGGAGGCGGCGGCGGGGGTGCGTATGGTCGTTGTAATGTCACATGGGGCCGCCACGTGTGTATCGGCCGCTGGGGAGGGACTTTTGGGGTCCAAGTTGTTGGTGATTAGGAACCACTGTGTTGTCTGTAGTGGAGAGAGAGAAGTGACCTGTCAGTCACTGGGCCTATAACACGTTTAGGTATCCTCCCTCACCTCCCCCCCCCCAATCATCTCCCGGAGTGTTTGAGGACATGGTTTAGTTTTAGTGCCAGGTGCCTTTAAGGGCCATTGGGGCTGGTTCTCCGTGTGCGCGTACTTTCGTCCCAGGTTCGGTCAATTTTTAGTAAACCGGGAGGTGGCGCTCTCGAGTCAAGAAGGCAGCCTCGGGGACGCTTTGCCTGGTTCCTAGGTGGCCCTCCGAGGAGCCTGGCGCTCACTCAGCCTTCAAAAAAAAAGACGGGCAAGAGAGGCCCGATGCACATCAGGAGAAAAGTGGGTGCAGCTTTTCTCTCAAAGGGACATGTGAGGCAAAGAGAAAATAAATATATCTTCCTTTTTCTTTCTATATTTGTATCAGAATTGTGTACAATTTAAAATTGTGGATGTAAATAAATAGGGAGAAATTGTCTTTGTACATAAACTGTAGCATTTATTTCTGGATAATCTAGGCTTGGTGGACAGCCTTTGCAGTTTTTTCTTTTATTAGCTGATCTGAGCGAAGGTGTTATGTTGCCTGAAGGGAAGGACAAAATGGAGTCACTCTCCCCATGTACAGAAATAAAATAAAGTGACAGTTCAATACTGGCAATAGGATGGTCTTTGTTACCACATCTGAACTCACGTGAGCAGACTCATTTACCGGTACAAAATGACAAACAGAATCCCTTCCGGGGGGGGGGGAATTGAGGAGGTGGCTCAGGAAGAATGGCTGAGGGGGCTCTGATGCTAGAGGCAGTTACCTCATCTTGCCTAATACAGTGGACCCTCTACTTAAGCAATTAATCTGTATTGGAATGGTGGCTGCAAGTCGAAAAGTCTGTAAGTCGAATCTCCATTGACCTACAATGCACTGAAAACCGATTAATCCCATAACCAGTGGTTTTTATTCTATTTTTATTCCATTTTTGGTTTTTTTCTGGTCTGTAAGTCGATTCTCTGGCTGCAAGTCGAATCTAAATTTTGCAGCCAGAGAAGTCTGTAACACGAAAAGTCTGTAAGTCGAGCCGTCTGTAAGTCGAGGGTCCACTGTAGTAGTGCAAACTCTTTTCTATTTTGTGCTTTTCCCACACTGTGTACACCTTGTATATGAAGTAATCGCTATGTACTGTCAAGTCACATCCAATGTATGTCAATTCATATCCAAGCCTATAAATTAACAAGCTCCAGAGTGCCCTAACAATCCAGTTTAAAACTTGCAAACACTGTGGCATATATTATCGAGTCAATCTGTATCATGTTAGACATTCCTCTTTTCCTAGCTTTTTCCATTCTTCTTCTTATGTTAAGACCAGTGTGTGACAGCCTAAGTTTAGTCATTTTAGCTTCAAATGGGAGTTCAGCCTTTATTTGGCATAGAAGTTACTTATTTTCCTTTCTTGCAGCCTTAGAAATCAAAAAAGTTCTATTCCAACACTAAATTTTGAATGCATTTTTCCTATCTGCTTCCTTCATTTTCCAGCTTTCCCATCCATGCCTAGTAATTGGGAGTATTGATGATCTTGGCCTTGATCTCCAGTTGCATACGCAAGGGTGTTACCTAATACCATCATCTCTCCCCCCCCAAAAAAAAATCTCAGCCATCTTCTGAGTTCTTAGCTGCAGTCTCCATTTTAAACTTAACATGATGTTTTGGTTTAATCCAACAACCTAGGGAAGAACTGAGTGCGGAATTATTACCCCAGATTTTATCTCAGTGCCAAACTAGATTCTGGACTCTAGAACTTACTTTAAAAATGTCTGTGCTTGTAAGTATGTAATGAGTGAGCAACCATGACACTCCCTTTCACAGTAAATGAGAACCTCCAGGGCAGAGAGTTTGTGGCAAGTGGCCCTTACCAGTGGACTTAGATAAGATCTGTCTGAAATCTTATCTGCAGATAAGAGTTGTCTGAAACATGCATAGGACTGCAATTCATGCAGCCAAGGTCTATTTTTGCTTTGTAAGAAATGTTCTGCTGTGTTCATTTGGGTGTGTGCCAAGTATATGTGTCCAGTTCTGGCAGTATTAAGAGTCTCACTGATTCCAGTGACAAAACTAAGTACTGTAACTCCTAAAATATCTGTCAATGCAGTGAGGCTTGATTTTTATTGCTTAGGCTTTGGCTGGATTTTGTCCATAATCAGTTGATAGCTCTGCACTGAAAGGCATGTGCTTTTAAACTATTTGTACAGATAGTAACCACAATACTTTTTGTTCCTTTTACAATTAAAGAATCTGCATTTGAAAGCTGTACTGTAATTTATCTTGCAAAAACTACACAGGAAAAAGCTATACATTGGAATTAATCTTCCGGTTTTGACCAAAGGTGTGTATGTCTGAGGGCTCTGTTGGGCTGAAAAGTAATCTATATATTTACTAAATGCATGAGATACTTACTCAGTTGTAATAAGCTTAGTTAATGAAGTGGCTCTTGCAGCTATGTGTGTAAGTTTGACCTAAAGATACTCAGCTAAACCTCAAACCATGTAATTGAATTACCCCTCTTCCTCAGCAATCCTTAGCCAGCACCAAGTTGTACAAAAGTAGTGTTCAAATGAGATTGTGTATTTATACCTAATTTCTTGATGGGCTTATATGGCCAGAACTCAGGAAATCATCTAATTTATGCTAATCTCTTTGTGAAGCAATTCTTATCAATGGACCTTATTCCTGAAACTCATTGCGCACTAGTAATGTTACTGCAATGTTAATCTTTTCCCACCCCTGCCCTGCCCAAAAGCACCAGATGCCCGTGATCAGGTAGCAAACAACAGAATGGACTTTGAAATGTCAGGCTATCATTTGTTCTTTTTGTGTTGAACCTGTGTTGATTAGTACAGCTTATTTTGATGCCCACTGGCAAGTTCTTCTTGATTCAAAAATTGTAAGGGTTTTATTTGATTTATAAACAACATCATACATGTAAACATGGACTGCAGTATAATTTTGCACACCATCATGTATGCTTCTTAGTGCTAGTTACTTTTAATGGACAAAACCTGTTTGTATTATCCTCAGAAGTCAACTTCTAAGCTCTTCCTAACTAAGAGGTGGGAACAGTTTATTCTGTCTGTGTATATCCATCATGTCTAAAGCTCAGTATCTGAAATTCTAGGATATGGTACATTTTAAACATAGTTACATAGCACCAAGGTTGAAGACTCAATGTTTGACAATCAGTAATGAACTTCAAAAATGAACCACATTTTGCAAGAGCTGATTTGCTCTGTGAATAAATTTGCTCTGTGAGTTAAACCAGTGTGAAAACAGATTTGCCAATCAGGGACTTAGACATTTAAAGTTAAGCATGTTAATGTTTTATTAACATGCATTGCATAAATCTTTCCCACTGTAATAAATGTGACTTAAAAGTGCTCATCTTTATCAGAATTGTTTCCTCACTTAGAGATGCAAGTAGTAAGGATATCGTAAAAATACGTTCCAAGAGTATAATATAAGCTTGAATATTAAATACACTATATATTGATAATCTATTCCATATTTCTTTTCCAGTTTTCAGATTTTTTTTCAAAAACATAATTAGTGAATTGGGCATGTTGTGAGAGTGGCTGATGGTCAGATTCCAAAAGATCTCCTGTATGGAGAATTAGTGCAGTGAAATTGCCCCAGAGGGAGACCACAGCTGCGATACAAGAATATCTGCAAGCGGGATCTGAAGGCCTTAGGAATGGACCTCAACAGATGGGAAACCCTGATATCTGAGCATTCAGCCTGGAGGCAGGCGGTGCATCACGGCCTCTCCCAATTTGAAGAGACCCTTGTCCAGCAGGCCGAGGCAAAGAGGCAGTCATGAAAGCAACAAAATTGGGGAGCTAGATGGGGTACAGAGTGTATTTGTCTTCAGTGTGGAAGGGATTGTCACTCTCCAATTGGCATTCTCAGCCACACTAGACGCTGTTCCAAGTCCTCCATACAGAGCACGATACCATAGTCTCTCGAGACTGAAGGATGCCTAATCTTTCTTTCATGTAGGTCACAATAGATTTTAGTTTGGTATGTTTAACCTTTAAAACAGAGTTGTGTAGCTGTCCAAGTTGGAGACATGGTTTGAAATCCAGTAGAAGAATTTACACTGTATAGGGTTGATGATGTCATCAGCTCTGGCATGCAATGCATGTTAATTTCCCAATTCTTCCTCCTCCCCTCCCAAAGGCCATGAGAATCCTTTCCAGCAAGGGGAAGCTGATGGGGGGCATGGGAGGGGCGGAGAAATGTTTAATTTTCAAAAATCGTTTTCAGCAGCAATTTTTGGAAATTGAAGGCTCCCCCAACAGCCTTTCTCTTGATGAAAACTATACTGAGGGAACCTAAGGACTTTTTAGGTGGATCAGGTATATTTAATTTATGAAAAACTGCCAAGGTCATTAGCCTCATGCTGTGTCAGTTCCACTGTTGGATTTCAGCCAGAGTGCCTGCCACAGCTGAGGGACGCCATGGCCAGTGATACTGCTTGCTTTGGAGCTGATAGAGACAAGAGAAATATAAAGATTTTGCTTCTGATGAAGGCCCTGCCGAAATACGTTAAGCAAGAAAGTTTTTAAAGCTTTTCACCATGTAATAAAGACACTACATATTGTTACCGAT